GAGAGGAGACGCTGCGCTGCGCGGGCGCCTCGGAGCCGTCCGTTCGGGTGCAACTAGTGCAAAGGATTTCGAGTAGGTTATCCGCGGTCGAACCGGAAACAAATCATATGCATCGTCGGGTCTTGAAACCAGGTGCTAGCGAGCAGCAAACTCCTTCCTGCGGTCGTGCTAAGCTTTACATGTCGTATAAAGTTCGCGGAGCGATTCATAAAGCCGAATGGACTCTGTTGCGGAGAAAAACAATTTCCGGCAAAACAGGGAATTAAGTACTTATCTTTACGAGCGGCCGTGCAATTTTCTGAAAGAAGATACGCCGACCACCCTCGGCACGGCGCCGCAACCACCGCTACCCACCGGCATCCAGAAAAATATATAGCGGCCTCGATACCGCGTTTCAACTGCATAACGCGTTCGCAGTTTGTTGACTGAAGTTATTCCTGACGGCGGCGACGGCGGCGGCGGGCCGGAGCCGCGAAGGAAACCGGTGGCGCGATAAGGGCGAAGGAAGAAGCATTACTGCCTCGGAGATGTCGTCGTGTCATTCCATCGAACAGGTGCATTTAGATTTCACGGGAACGGCAAATGGAGAGAAACGGACCGCGCCGCCCTGACAAGTGTGTATCGATTCGAACACACAGCGCCGGTTAATTGCAACGCTTTACCCAAATGACTGATATTACCCGTTCGTTTCGTTTATTGATAATGCAATCGCGTTACTCGCGAAGCTTGTCACCAACGTTTAGAAAGTCTGCCGGCTCTGTATCCTGCGGAGGTAAATCAAAGAGAGTTTTCGCATTGTAACGGCCCATCAATTTTCGGGGAAAGCAATGTCCACGTTATTGGGACAATGTATAACGATAACGCGAGGAGCATTTATTCTAATGCTATTATATTATTTATTTATTCTAATGCTATTATATTTCATTCTCTGAATTATTTGAATATAAGAGCGCGTAGAAGAACGCGAGGGATGAGAACATACATTAGCAACATACAAAGAACAGTTGTGCACAGCGTTGAGTCAGCGATACAGAGTTTGTTTGTCATTTGATTGCATTGTTCTACGTCTATCTTTATAAAACGAGACGTTGCGCGTGGGTCCAGAACTGCACGGTAATTTATATTTAACGATTTCGACATCGCGTCAACGTGTCGTATATTTCTATCGATACAATCTTTATAGCATTCGTTCGAAAGCATCGAATCTGCTCTATTTTTTTATCGGGCTTGCGTCTAGTTGTAAATTGTCCCTTTTGCGATTGCGTCGTATAATAAGTCAGGGGTGGCCAAACTTTTGATCGCCGCGGGCGACCTGTTTTTTAAATTATAGACGGCGGCCTATCGACATTGTATGCGTTAAATGATCAAAAGTAATAATTTAAATAAGTTTAAATTTAAGATAAAGATAGATAATATGTTAAGCGGCCGATGCTTTAGCCACCCCTGGTCTAAGTGAACGAAACGTTAAGTATATTAGGATATAATATACTATAATATAAATATATGTAGATATATAATATAAATAGATAGATAGATAATATAATAGATATATAATATATTATATATATATTCGACATTACAAGCATTACGAGGATTACACGGATCCAAAAATTACCCACGTTTCCCCAAATAAAATAAGAATAAAATAATTTATCTATTATATAGATATATAATATAAATTATTTTAATGCTTGTAATGTCGACCGCTTTGCATTTTCAGATATCGGTGTGCACCGAAAATGACGCGATATCATGGTAGGTGGCACGGCGCTCTATCTATAACACATCGTTCCGTTTCGTCGACATGCAAAGGAGATACTTTACGCCTATAATTTTACATTAATCCATTAGTCAGTTACAAAGTCGCATGTCAGCAGACGCAACGGCCATTATATCCTATTAATAGGCCATTACATAGACGCACTTGGAGTTCATGAACATGATTAATGGAGAGAAATGAACGCTCGGCTAACCACGCATCGATCCGTGCATGTAATATTCCATGTTATGCATTAACAAATGCCTATTATTTATTACGTTCCGTGATCAATTAACCATTAGGTACGAGCGATTCCCATTACCACGTATCGCGGGGAAGTACGTTCGATTGTTCCATAAAAGTTCGATAAAAAATTGTTATTCCTATCGACTTACAAATTATATTCGACGCAAGAGGGACAATTGGTACGTTTACGACATCGATAAACGCGATTACAGAATTACACAAGCGTGTCCACACTCGCGATCAGCGTTTGCCAATTACTATGTTACCTCTTAACGAAACATTTAGTCTTTTATAGTCTTAGCAATATTTACTAAAAATCGAGAATTTCGACACTGTTTCTAGCGAAGGCGTCGAAAGGCGCTTATTAATAATTTAAAGGGTTCAAGGATATCTTTTCGCTGCTACGATCGTTAACGTAGAATCTCGGTGAAAATAATGTCGATTAGGAATCAATATGTTGTACCCCCTAAAATTCCGATATCGATTCGACGCGACACGGGATTGTTCTATCGTCGCGCGTCACGCGGACTGATTCGCGGGCCAGAGGCGAGCTGTCCGTTGTAAATCGAAGTCAAGTGGGGGAAGAAGCACTTGGATTTTCATTGATCGAACACGTAGAAATCGAATCGGGGAGCGGGACGGGACGCCAAAAACGATTAGTTTGACGCGCGGAGCCCGGTTTTGCTCGATACATAAACCTGAAACCGTTCGAGAACAAAAACCGTAGACGTATGTTAGCAGCGACCAAAGCGGATCCCCGATGTGCGCGTTGCACAAACCAGTTGGCCGGAATAAACGTACTGACCATAGGTTGGCGAGCAGCCAGAGCACCTATCCACGTAAGCATTCGTCTTTTCATCGCGACGCGTCGCGACGCGACGGGACGCGACGCGCCACGGCTGAACCGAACAGATTGATGCGCGGCTTAAAACACGCCGGCGAATAATCCGGATGATTTGAATGCCCCTAATGTGCGGCATGATTGAAATTTTCACGACCCAGATCGCTGCCAAACTGCTGCCAGTTGTTGTCTCGGTCGTCGTGTTATCGACGAGTGACACGCGCGGTCAAAAATAATGCACTGACAGTTCGTGACTCGCATCGAATCAATAGAACAGGCTTTAAATGGAAAGGCTGCCGACAAAATGGATAAAACGTTCCAATAACACGCTCTTCCCGCCAACCGCGCCGTTCACAATTCGTTTGCGATATTAAAATTTCTGTTTCTCTTTTCCTTTTTTTTTTTTTGCCGCAAACGTTAAACGTAAACCGTGTTTCGTCCAGCCGTTCGCGAGTCCAGTGCGCGAAACTAGCGTCGACATTTTTCGGCACGGTGGAACCGCGTTTGGGCGAACTCGGTGGTGGGTTCGCACGATAGGAGACCTCTGATTATCGTTAACCTTTCGCTCGATTAACCGGAGTTCGGTTGAACGAAGCGCAAGGCTCGAACGATCGTATCGAGCCTAAATAAAAGCGTAGAAAATAAGGAGCTGCATGGCGCGACAAAGAAATACGCGATTCCATTTAAAAAAGTGCGTCTTCGCGCGTCGACCTAAAAATATCTTACCGATATCGGATTACGTTCCCCCTAAAAACTATTTAAAATTTATTTCGTACACTTTCAACGGTTTGCAAGATATTTGACCGAGTCGATTTAAACGGGTCACCCCCTATATATAATTGAAGTCGACGGACGAGTTAAAAATTAGCGGCTTTATGAATTCGAACGTGGGCGGCAACGAATCGCTGAAAGACGAATTACATTTACGATGTCTGTCTGTAATCACGGACGACGAATTGCGTGACTACACGCGCGTTTAATAAACTTGCAAATTGGACGCGCAGTCTTCCTCGAACGGAGTGCTCGGAATAAAAGAAACTGGCGTGTAGCTCCGGTGTTAGAGAAGATTTCTAAACCTCGGAGGTAATGTTAGACAGTTAAGCGTCGAATGTTTACCGAGCCGATCCGTTAAATGCTCGCGAATTATCCCCGCCACTTCTTGGTTTACAGCCAACACTTTAAGCTAAATGCTCGGAGCAGCGAATCGACAGTTCAATGTTTGACAAATAAAACGTCTCCGACGTTGACTTTATTCGACGAAGAAAGGTTTCATCGTGTCTGCGAGATTATTTCGACGACCTTTTTGGGGACACGCGAACGAAAATAATCGCAGCAAAGTACAATCATTTCTCCCCAATTCGCGCTCGGATTGCGCACGAAAATGGACAATTTGAGAAGAGGAGGATACGATTATTCGAGCCTAAAACGAGATGAAAATTGTCAATTTTTGTGCGGAATTCGGGGGCACGAATTAGGGAGAATGTACTATGAAAAATTTAGGTTCGATAAGATCCGTTTCGCGGCGATTCGAGTATCACAGAGCTCGGTGTGCACGTCGCATTATTTCGTCGGGAACGACAGCGACCGTTTACCGATGCAGCCAAGTTTTATATCGCGATAAATAGATTTTCCAAGTAACTACCAGTGGCCTCGACGAAACGTTTTCAGGCACCCCATAAATTCTAATTTAAAATCAGTGTCGCAACAAAAGGCCCTCAAGACCGGCGCACCATTTCTCAGAGTGTTCCTCGCATAGCTCATTCGTTTTATCGTCTCGAACGGCACGAGCGTCACTCTGACACTGTGATAAACAGCCGCTTCTGTCGTAAGTCAAGTCGCCGTAAAATCTTAGACATTACTTGTCGTAGTGTTTACTAAGTCGGGACGACTTGACAAGGTGAATATAGTTGACGCTAGATCTTTGCCGCGACGCCGGTCCGCTTATTTGGCATCCAGCGGGATTCATCATTGTTCCAAGGGCGTGGTTCAAAAGATCGGAGAGTTATAGCACTTGCGTGTCCCACGGTTAATAAATGTTGCACGCGTGGAACGATTTTGCCGGTGAATGAAAGTACATGTACAGGGTGTACCGTAATTATGTTAACACCCGGAGAGGGACGATTCCTCGGGTGATTTGAAGCAACTTTTTCCTTAGCGAAAATGCAATCCGCGGCTTCGTTCGCGAGTTATTAACGAAAAACGCTGACCAATCGGAGAGCGAGCGCGGCCAGGGCTCCGCCCTTTCGGCCAATGCCGCTTTGCACTGGCCGTCTGACGCAGCAGCAATGGTCACGAGGGCGGGGCGATCACTCATTGACCTCTGTATTTCGTTAATAACTCGTAAACGAAGCAGCGAATTGCATTTTCGCTAAGGAAAAAGTTGCTTCGAATTCAGGAATCGTTCCTTTCCGGTTGTTAACATAATTATGGGACAGCCTGACGTAACGATAACGGTACGTAATATTTTACGTGGTTTTCGAGATCTATAATTTTAAACTATGACGTTTATGCTACGAACAAGTTCGTTTGATGCGTGATGTTTCGTGATCGATTTATAAATGGGTATCCAAAGAGGGAAAAAAGGGAATCACGAGACGGCGTTGCGAAACAGATATACACAGCTAATTATCAGATTACCGTAAATTCCGAGAAAAATGAAGTCTACGAGACACATGTGCGTGCGTCGGCCATCTTCTTATTTCCCACAGAATTCTGATGGGAAACAGATCCTAATCGCGTCTTTTTGTACCACCTTGCATTCGAACCTCGCGAGTCATGGTACGAAATAGACGAATTCCAGAACTTCTCGATTAAACCGCTTTTTAAAATCCATTTAACTTAGCGTTTAAAGAAGTTATCCGCGAACGAATGGAGCCATTATCGTTCGGGTAGTCTCGACAGCGTCGTCGTCGTCGTCGCCGTCATCATCCAGGAACAACTTAATTGCTTGAACAAACACGTCGGTGATCGTAGAAAATGTCCGTACCTCGGAAGGAGGAAAAAGAGACAAAGGAAAACGGTCTTTCAGCAAAAACGAGGAAGATGGACGGTCACGGAATGTCTTTTCTGCGGTCATTTGTTCCCTGGAGCAACAGAGGAATAGATTAGATATATAGAATGTCAAGATTGAGCTCACGTGCGTGCGCGGAACGTGATGACGAGAATAAAGACGATGCTTACGTACGTAGGACAGTCGTGCTCCACTTGTCGAGAGCAAGGGGGGACGATCCGGACATCATCGCTGTACCTAAAATTCTGTCCTTGCGCTTTATACTTCTGGTAAATCTACTGGACAATTTGCTGGACGATTCGCGTCGTTGTTAAAGCATCGAGTCCAATATAAATCGCACACTCCTCTTTGCCCTGAAAAAAGAAACAAAAGACAGTTAGCATTCTTCATAACCCAGAAAAATATGTTCTACGATGGCTAGCATTTTTCAACGAGTAAAAAGACCGTTCCTGAATCAACGGTACGAAACGAAAGTTCGATAAAAATGTACGTACATCTTGATAAAGTAATTTTAACAAGTCTAAGATAATATTCTTCCAATGTTCGTACATTTTTCAACTCGGCTCGCTTACTATTTTTTCCATAAACACGCTCAATTCGCATCTTTCAAAGCTGTGTCAAAATTTAGCACCGGTTGTTCCAACATCGTTCTCTTTCATCGGAACCGATGGAACGAGGACGATGAGACGACAAAGTCCGCTTCTGCAGCATTCATGAACGCTCGTAATTTGCCATGATAGTTCAAGACGGTTCTCTCTCTCTCTTTCTGTTCGAATAATCTGAAGAACGCGCGGACTACTTTTTGTGCCACCGGAATCGTCGTCTTCGACTACCGCGCTCCATCGCCGCGAATAAATTTCCGTTAATCGGCGGCCGATTATTTCATTCTGTAATACCTCGGGACATCCGGTAGACGCGCGCAGTCCCATAATTGACACCCGATGGCGTATCTATTCGTAAGGAACATTCCAGCAGTCGGATAGCCGAGCTCTCCGGCAACTGGCTTGCCGCTGTAAAGTTCCTGAAACGCATAGCTCCGATGAAACCGCCGGGGCGTTCGTGTATGCTACACTCGGCTAAGGTTAATCCGACGGTAACACCGTGACGGCCGAGCTAATGGTACGCACGACGTCGCCGACATTTTCAGCCAACCAGTCGTCGGGCGTTCGTTGTGTCTAACGACAAGAAGAAGGGAAGGCGCGCGCTGACGCTATCGCGGGCCGCTTGAGTGATGAAGTGAGTGCGGAGTGAGACCTATTTTTGTGCTCACCGACAAACAGCCTCGTAGATCTCGTGACACATCGTTAGAATGCCACGAAAATACCCTCCGCGCGGACGAAAAGTGCTGCGGGGATATCCAGACACCGGCTACCACAATTTATTCCGAGAAATTGCCGGCTGTTCTTCTTCGTGCACGCAATGATACGTTCCCGCTCCACACTCGGAAATGATACTACACGCCTTTTCGTATGTACGGCGTATTTCATACGCCTTATCGAGTGATTGCACCGTTGGAAATACGAAACTCCGTGCACCGTATAGTTAGATAAATAGTCGCCGCCGGTATACAGTGTGAGCTATGCGAAGTGCTACAAGTTGTCCCTCTACACCCCCTATCGGCCCGTCGAAACCGCCACTCGGTATTTACGGTATCGTAGATTCGTTCGACGGACACGTTATTTCACATTTGACGCTTGACGATTCTCGTGCATTTCGTTAAAACAATATATTTTATTCAATCGAATCGGAATTCGGATTCGGCATCGATTACACGTTTTTCTTTACGTCTTAAAAAGCAGGGCAAGCCAAGCATTGTTGCTTCCAGGAGGAGACAATGCCACTTTCTTCCATTAATTTCTCTCGCACCAAATTATGGTTTACTCTACAGGCTGTCCCATAATTTGGTGTCCCATAATTTGTAATAGTATCGCGTCGATTACGCGTTTTTCTTTATGTCTCAAAAACCAGGGCAAGCCAAGACTTTCGCATTGTTACTTCCAGCAGGAGATAATGCCACTTTTTTCCATTAATTTCTCTCAGTTTACTCTACAGCGTGTCCCATAGTTTGGTATCCCTCGTTTCCCGGAAGTACCATAATTTCTGGACATCGGAATTCGAATGGTAAATTGTATCGCGTCGATTACGCGTTTTTCTTGTGTCTCAAAAAGCAGGGCAAGCCAAGACTTTCGCATTATTTCTTCCAGGAGACAATGCCACTTTTTTCCATTAATTTCTCTCGCACCAAACTATGGTTGACTCTACAGGCTGTCCCATAGTTCGGTGTCCCTCGTTTCCCAGAAGTACCATAACTTCGGGACACCCTGTACGTTTGTAATTTTTAATAGGAAGAAGATGATATCGGCGGTTGCAGCGGAAAATAGTTTGTAATGGTACGCGCGGCTCACCCTGTAGCGAAGAATGTTCCAGTCGGCGCGAAGAAGAGACGTTTGTCAATGGAAATGTTATCATGCAAAGTGGATAATTTCTTATGATTGCTCAGGATATCCTATGATAAGTACAGGTCGGTGCAGCGGCTAAATTATATAACTTCGTATAATGCTGGCGAAGAAAAGCCAAGAATATACCCAAACATTACGAAAATATATGTAGATAACCGCTAATTTTTTGGCATGTTAACCGTACGGACAGCCGTGCGATTATTTGAAACGTGGAATTACGGTGCACTTACATTGGTTTGCTGTGTCTACGATGATTCGTTCATAGCTGAACAACAGATCTCGTATGCGTTGCTTCTGATTTAAATTGAAAATCTGTGTGTTCGGAAATTGTTTCTCAGAATTTTATTCGAACACTTTTCTTTCTTTCCTTTTTTCTTTTATTACGAAATCCTTTCTCTCTTAAATGCCTCGACTTCCGGCGAAGTATAACGAAAAACTGAGACGAGTATACGCGAACAGGATAGGAAATTATGACTCAATTTTGTTTAAAAGTTCAGCGGAAACATCGATGCGGTAATAAATGATTCACAGTTTATATATGGTACGCGATATGTAATAGTTTCGATCGTTAGCACGTTCGCAGGCATAAAATCAGACGTAAAATCGTGCGAACAATGGCCTTCGCCGCCCCACCATCGTCGTAATCGTGCCCGTTATTGCAGGTGTAAATAGATGGCGACGTTGGCATAAATCGCGGATTCTCAACAAATTTCGCTAACGTTCGGAATAAAATAAAAACTCGCCTTGTACGAAGCGTGCGTGTAAATTAATTGTAATTTATCGGCGATACCGTGGAAACCGAAGAGCATGAATAAATTTTACTACCAGGATGCTTTGATGTCGACTGAATACTAGATTCCGAGTCTAACCATCAACTAGTCACGCGTCGTTACGTACAGCGAATAAAATTAAGTTGACTATGTACTTCGTCGTAAATTCTCCGGGTTATTAACTTTAGGTAGCCGTATTTTATATTCTGGAATTTATTTAGTACTTCAAATACGCCGGAAGATCACGCGTCAGTGGGCCTGGGAAAAGAGAGAAATCGCGACAGAAATTCCACTAAATCAGAAGAACGCGAAACGTGGATATGAAATTTTATCGTCGATCGTTCGCGAACGGTATTATTATCGACGAGATATATCAAGAGGCATCCGTCAAAATGAACACATCTGTCCCTAGCGCCTCTGCACTAATGATAATAAATGTTCCGTTCGCGAATTACGTATTTCGAAATATTATTATTTTCATTCTCGAATTTATAACGCAGAAAGGGAATACGCTTTTAGAAAATCGACAGACATGATCGATCGCTTAAGTCGTAAGTCATACTTTCTACGTCATTCAACACCACACGATGTAGAGGCTTTTATGGTAATATTGCTGTTAATGGAACGCGTGGTTCGACAAAGTAGATTCAGATTTCTATTCGATTTGTAATCGAATACGAGCCTTTATCGTAGAATGGATCAATTTTCATTTCCGTCGATTTCCATTGAAATTTTTATTTCGATTCGAAATATAACAATTTATATAATATATGTAATATAATATAACAATTTATATAATATATGTAATATAATATAATACTTTATATAATATAATACTTTATAATATGTATAATATAATATAATACTTTATACTATATAATATAATATAATACTTTATACTATATAATATAATAATATGTAATAATAAAATCGCGATATTTTAAAACGAGCGATATAAACATTTCTATGAATTAAAAATAGAATAGGACGCGAATATGGATGGAATAGTTGTTACATATATCGCTGTAAAATTAATAACGCGGATAATTTCGCTCGGAAAGTTCTTTGATCAAGATGAAGCGATTCTAATATAAATGCAGAATATGTTGACTAACATAATTTCGTCGACCGCTCGGCACACCAGTGCAATTAAAACCGGTGGGCGTACGAGGGCCAACGTAACTAACGTTCCAAAGCGTTAGAAACATCGGAGGAGATTTTCGGAACAAATCGACGCACGGCCATGCCTTATATATCAGGCTTTCCATCGTCTCCCCTTCTGACAGTTATTACAACGTTTGAAGATACTTATTCGGGGAACTTATGGCGAGCAGCTGCGCGCTTTTTTCGATCATTTAGTTTTCAGTCTGAAAATTATTATGTACCGTGCAGACTTTATACATACGATGTAGGCATAACCTGCCGTCAGAGGAAGCCTTATATATATTTTCCAGAGCTAAGTGGCGGGGAACTAATGATAAACACGACTCTTCGTGGCTATAAGGGGAAATTAATGTTCCGGACGTAACGGTAAATGGAGTAGAAAGAAGACAAGAAACTGTGAGATAAATGGTGCCGGGTCTCCCGTAAGATATCGCTTTTTATGAAGGACTGCCGAACTAGGATTACTGAAAAATCTAAAATTACTCTCTAACTACTTTCCAAGTACGGCTTCATCTATCTTCGTTTCAGAAAGTCCCACCGTATCACGTTTCACATTGATTAGGCGTACGAATACACTTTCGTCGAGTCGTTGGAAACGTGTAATTCGTACAATTTTGCGGTGCTCTAAATTATTAAAATTTGCGATGCTTCCACCGCGTCGATCTTATAAGAAGAATGAATCCGAAAAATTTAACAAAAAGAATTTGGGACCAAAAGTTACCAGAAAAAATGACACAGTTTCATCCATGCTTCGAGAACAATCGTAAACAATTTTGGCAATAGAAGATAAAAGAATCCCCTACCATAATCGAACAACCGTTGAAACAAGAATAAGGTCGGACGACAATGTTCTTAAAGAAATGGAAAATTACGAATTTACGTCTGGACTTAACGATCTTCGAAATCAATTGACTGCAGAGCGCGGTTAAATCGCGAAGCAATCGCATCGCGAAACGCAAACTAAATCGGGGAGGAATTGTATCGCAAAATATAACCGAATTGCGAAAGAATTCGCAAGTTTTCGAAAGAAATTGCAATATCCTGAAAGCATAGTGACGATATAATGGCAACTGCGAGAGAGCGCAGCCAGAAAATTGAAAATGGATGCAACTTCGAAGATGTGCAGCGGAACGAAATTTGGATTGATCGCAGCTCCTCGCCGAGAGTAAACGCGCAAGGAAGTGATTGCGAATGATGGACGATCGGGTGCCGAGGGATGATAAAGTAGTAGCGTGCGGTAGAGAATATCGACGGGAAGCACCCCCATCTATCAGCCCCTTCCTACTTCACGGATAATCACCGGCTGCCAACCAAAGTCAGACTACAAGTAAGATCTTATGGGATGATCTGCCTCCGCAGCGATCGATTTAAAAAGATTACATCGGGTTATATCGGAGGTGTCAGCTTAGAAGAAGATACCGGGATACCTTTTATTTCAATTTATCAACCGCCGCGTGACCGGCGCTAATTTTTATGACCGCCGAGCAACAGATCTTCGCGCGAGAATTTATTATTCATTTATTCTTTAACCGGGATCTACATGCGAATCTATGTTTTCTAACGGCGGCAATAATAATAATAATATCTTTATTACGCCGGAAACGTGGAAACGTACCAAGTGTGATGATTACGGTACAGTAAATTGAGCCGTTCATTTTGAAAGTGGCATAAATCACTTTGTTTTTATGTCGATATATTTAAGAGTTTACACGTTTAAAAATATGGATGCTAACTTTCGAGAAGATTTACTTGTATTTGTTATCTCAGGATACTGATATTTTTCTCGGTATAAATAATTTCGTATAAACATTAAAAAAATCACCACTTTTCATTACGGTAAAGTGACTTATGCCGCTTTCAAAATAAACGGCTCAATTGTCCCTAATTTTCTAATTTGAGCTCCCGCGAGAATTTGCAAGAAAATTCGTAATTAAAAATGTTATTCGTCATCGAAGTACAATAATAATTTAGTAGAGTGCAATAATAATTTAGTAGAGACGGCAGAGAAACATGCGAAGAGAACAAACGACGAGCGATAACGAGATAAAATAGAATTACATAGTCCGCGTCAATCATTTATGGCCAAAATTAATAAATGCCATTTGACACAATAAAAAGATTGTAATCGAAAGATCGTTATCCAAAGAGCTTATCCAAATGATAAGCATAAAAATTCCTATTCTCGCAGTTAAAGATTCGCTGCGAGTGGAGAAAGAAAGAGGCGCGCGAGTACAAAATTCTTCGCGTGCAACGCAAGGTTGTTGCCATTTTCAGGTGGACTTCTTTCGCGAATTAGTTCCAGCGTCGCATCGGAATGCAGATCTCGTGGATCCATACGTAAACTTCTCGCGTATGCGGTGAAACGTGCGTTTTTCTAGCCGTTCGTTTGCAACGCACATTGTACATGGCGCAACATTATTGCAATGCGTACAAGCAGTTACATCTGTTACGTCCATCGAACGTCAATATTGACGACGGACAGCGAACGCTATAAAATACCTGTCGCGTTTTACGCGTTCGCATAGGTCTCGCTGTATAAATATCGAAGCGGCGTTCGTTTACAGTGAATTTTAATCGATACCGTGGCAAAGAGTACTGTAACGAGCCGAGTCGGTCAGCCGTCGAACTTTCGCATTAATAGCAGAATAACATTGCGCAAACGCGTTCCAATGAAAACTGAAAAATATCTGCGATTGAAAAACGTTCGCTTCCATCGAATATTTCCAAACGACGATAGAAAATTGCATTCAAATAAAACATTTCGTCGTTTCGTGAATTAACGCTTAGCCAACCGAACGGGGAGATTTCCCCGTTTTAAAATCAGTCGGTTGACGACCGAATGGATGATTAATGAAAAATTAAAAATGACTGCTTAATATCATTAAGATTTGCAAGAGGTACGAATGCTGAAGAAGTAATCGATACAATATAAGTTTGCTTCATAATTTTCGTTTAATCGAATGAAACATTTTAATTTTATGAAAATTTTTTGAGGTTTCTAGCGCGGTCGTGGAAGTGTTAAAAGTAGACGTCGAAAGGTCTAAAGCGCATCCAATAATTTTCTCCAATAGCCAAAGACACGGTAACTGGCTACCCGGCAGTAACTGGCTCCGCTACCCTATTAACACGACCAACAGACTTCGCAGATCTTGCGCTTTGAACTTCTTCTATTTTGTGCATCCCGGTATAACGATGTACAATAAATTCTCTCCAATCGTCCGTCAGTTTGCAAACGAAAATGTAGTCGCCAATTGCCGGCAACAATAAAAACGGGTCGCGATGCTCGAAAATAATCGCGTCTTCTGCTCTCAAATTGTGCATTTTCGTTTACAAGCTGATCGCAGAGAATTTATTGTAGCCCTAAATCATTCTCTCGTCTTCGACACTCCGGGTTGCCATAAATACATAAAACTCAAAGTCTACCGATGATTGAAGACCCCAGCTGCTTCGTTTCGTTCAACCCTCCGCATCGTTTTCGTCCTCGCTGGCCCAGAAATTGGTGGCCGCAACGTCGGGCCCCAAGGCATGTGCCCAACAACGTTTGCTACCGCAGCACCATAATGCCGGCCAACCGACAGGATGAAACGGTCGGTTATCGCGACGACGATTCGTCGAATTCGCAGATAGTTCCTTGGATTCGAGTTCTTAGGCTAGTTACGCGCGCGGAGACGCATTGTTCGGAGATGGAGAGAGAAAGAAGGAGAGAAAGAAAGAGAAAAGAGAGAGAGAAAAAGAGAGAGAGGGAGAGGAAGAGAAAGAGAGAGAGAGAGGGAGAGAGAGAAAGAGAGAGAGAGAGAGAGAGAGAGGCATACGTAGCCGTGTACACGGCGTAGCGGCGCGGCGTTCGTACGTAGAAACGGAGATCAGCATACGTCGCGTATTATTTACAATTGGCGGCGATTTATGTCTCTGTGCCGGATGAGGGCAGGCAAGCAGGCATGGGGAATGCGGAGAGAGAGAAAGAAGGGACGTGGGAAAGAAGGAAGCGAGCAAGGGAGACAGAGGACAGAAGGAGAGAGAACGCGGCCGCCTTGCCAGCCAATTCCCGGCGGCCCGCTATATTTACGAGGCCCATAAAGTAGCGGGCACGGCCGCGTATATTGCCGCGTAAATATCAGCTTATGGAAATATAGAGCTCAATATCTGCCTGCCTGCCTGCCTGCCTGCCTGCCTGCCTACCTGCCTACCCAACGCGTTCCGCAGCTTTCCTTCCCTTTCGATTCAAGGACCATCCTGTGTCGGTCTCGGTGTGCCGGTGTCGGGGTAGTTTTCGTTCAGCTCGTTGGTAATCGCATATCTCGCCGGGAAAAATTATTTTCGGTACCTCGGCGGACCTCGTTTCGAACCGAGCTCGGCGCGTTATGGAATTTACTTCTTCTATTCCCATTCTCTATCCTGGAACACAGGTAATTTCTGCTCTCTTAAAGACCTTTGTTACGGCCGACGCTCCGCGATCCGGCGGTTGACGCTTCACGGCGTCTTCGGTAGGGTTGCGCGGACCCGGTTTACCGTGCACGCGTTACCAATCGCTGTGCCTTCGGTATAAGTAACTATAAAGTTAATCGACTGTGTTGATATTAACTGTAGATATAAATTTATCGAACGAGACTCTACAATCTTTTTTACTGCAAAATAAACATAATAAAGGAATAAAAGTTCCAGTTCGTGCATCAATCGGGCTGTGGAATATAGGATTCGCGTATTTGTGAGACGAAGAAGTTGTAAAAACGAGTTTGACAGGCTCGAAAAATGAAATTACGAGCAATTAGCGATCGTAACTCTAATCTAGAAACTAATCTCTAAGCTCGAAAGTGAAAACAAGCGACGTGCAGCGTTTTTCCTTGCGACCAGAGAAATATGAAGTTAACTATATCCGAGAATAAACCAAAAACACGGCAATTGGTCACTCCACAGTAACCGGCTCCACGCTGCCCTGTGTGCTTTCTACGCCGGCTAGCAAAAAAGGAGCTCGGGAGTTTGCGGGTTATATATTATACATGTATGTAGTGCGCGTCCAGGGGTCACCCGGTGACCCCGAGACAAGGTCTTTTGATGCCGCGGATAAAAAATACGCGGCCGACTATCTTTTTATGAGATTCGAATACATACGACAAAAGGAGGGTATGTATATTTATGCATTTATGGCATGGACGAGTTTGCGAGATGCAATTAAACGTTCGCGGTGATGAATGGACGATAAATTATAATTTTGAGCAGCCTAAAATTGCGATATCTATTAATGCGATTGCGATCATTTATTTAATACGCGTACGCGTATTTTCCGAATAATTGATTCGAGATTGTAATAAAGTTGCGAATACGTTAAAATAAAAAATTACAGCTTGTTCATTGTGCTATTGCGTTTACCGGCGAACGAACTGATTTACTTTTCTCATGTGTAAAATTATTCGCTCATTGCGGCGCAGCCTGCAATTAATCAATGAAACTTCCACACTGGTATTAGCATTGATTAGCATTAACTGTGATCTAGATCGTGGAATATAAAGACGACTCGCGAGCAGAACATAATCATTAGACGTTAAATCTGATCTTTTTCTCTTCGACGTCTGCGCACGTGCACCGGACTATAAATAAACTGCACATAATTTAGAAACGAGCAAACATCGTGTTAAGCTCTTTCTACGAATCGCGCAGGGTAATTATCGGTGTTAACGCATTCAAGATAGCGTGACCCACCCGTTAGAACATTGAATGGTCCGGTTGTACGGCCACGTGGCCCACAACATTATTTTACGATCAATAAAAATCCGTACCTGAAGCTCGTTATCGTGGATTCAGTCGGTTTGTTATTTAATTTAGATCGTTATCGTATTTTTACAGAAATAATCGACGATAAAATAATTTAGATTGTTATCGTATTTTCGCAGAAATGATCGACAATAAAATATGACTATGCTGCGCGGAATTTGAGTCGCAATGAGCTTATAAAAAGATCTCATTCGTTTCCAAACGCATCCATCACTTCCACGCCGTACCCAAGTTCCTCAAGCTCGGTCAGAAATCTTTAAAAAACAGTCCTCGAACGAAGGATTGTTCTTCCGCTTGAGTATTTTAGTTTTCGTAGCCCAAAAACTAGCTTACTTTTCACCAACAATCAATGCTTTCGCTCGAACGCCTGCCATCCTCTCAAAAATCAGTATTCCGAAAAATCCTTCGTTCAAGGACAAATTTAACCTACTAAATTACGACTAAAGAAATATTCTTCGTGCCTGATTTCAGATAACCGTATGGCCGAACGAAGCCGTCCACCGCAAAGTATGCTTTTTCGCCCGCGGGAGACCTGCCATAACCTACACGTTTTGAATACAAAAAAATACAACTAGTAATACAAATTTAGATCTTTCGAATAGAGGAACGTTCGTTGAAAAAGGTATTAAAAATTTTGAGAGAAAAATCCCCGGAGGACAGCATTTTTTTCTAACCCCTAGCACGACCGCTTAAAAAATCCTGGCGCTAAGTACAGCAGATCGATATCCCAAAACAGGCGGTATGTACATACAGCGTCAGACATACAGTCAGATCATTAGAAGCAGCTTCTTCCTTTACAAAAATTTTCTCCGAGGCACCGTTAACGAGTTATTAACGAAAAACAGTGACCAATAAGAATCGAGTACGGCTGACGCGAGACGGTCCAGCCAACCGGCGCACAGAGCCCAGTTCCGCTCATTGGCTCGGTCGCCTCGCGCCAGCCGAGCTCGCCTCTCATTGGTCACTGTTTTTCGTTAATAACTCGTTAACGATACCTCGGAGAAAATTTTTGTAA